TATATACTAACTTAAGGGTTTGATTTATTGCAGTATTGAAGGAAAGCTAAACTGTAAGGGTTCCAATAAAAAAGGACCTAATTTTCAATGATAAAATAAAGAAAAAAAGTAAATGATTGCAAGTTGTATTAGTAAAAGTTTTAGGCATGATTGACATAAGCAGTAGTAAACTTCCTTCAAAAGATTACCAATTTGTTGTCAAAATTAATTAGCTTACATTTTTTTGTGCATTATTAGAAATTATAATGCATTCACTGCCAACTTAGAGCAGTGTGTGTGTCCAGTGCAAAGCAAACAACTACTTTATTTCAAATGGCAGTGTTTTCACTACAGTGTTTATAAATGTAAAGACAGATATAAGAGATAGAAAAAAAAACAAATGTAAAAGATGTGAAGTGAGTCTTTTTAAAAAACTAGATGAGAATTTTGAATAAAACAATTATCAATTCACGTTTTTTTTCAAAGATTTATGGCCACAATAAAATCAAAATCTTTCATAACAAAAGATTCTAACATCAGGAATAATTCATTCTTAAGTGCTTGTAATGCTTAAATATAAACAATTTTTTTTTTTGCTTTTCTTTATTAATCTCTGCATTTGTTATTATTGCACTAAACACAATGCTAACTTGAATAATTATTGGCATGTTTTGTAATATTTCCTTTGAAAAAGTTACTCATCACAGGATAAAAAATAATATTTGGTATATCATCCACTTATCTCTCTTTCTCCATGCACAGACACAATGAAAAAAATTATTTTAACCTCACAAATCCAATAATGCAATACAAAACGAATATAAAGTAAAAAGTATTCTGTATTTTTTAAATGAAAATAGCAACTTTTGTTTTACAATTAAAATATCAAATAGTTTTAAAGGAAAAAAGAAAAACATTTCAGAAACTACTTCAATTTACTTTCATCCTAAGAAAACTCAAAAAATGTTTATCATTAAGAAAGGAATAAAAATCAATCCTATTTAATAAAGAATGAGTGTTTATTGATACAAAAGATTGTTTGATTGGGCATATTCTGAGGGAAAACTCAGAAAATAGGAATAATCACCAATCTTCCTAGGACTAGAAACTAGAACATATTATTTCATCCTTAAGTTGTATTTAAGAAAAAAATTAGTCCAGAATTTTTAGATGACATTAATGCTGAACAGTTACAACTGTCTACATCAAGTTACTTAAATTCTTTCTTTTAAATGAAGGAGAAGTGGGAGGGGGTAAATGTATAGCTAAAATATTCATCCATCTGAAGATTTCATGCAAAAAGTTATAAATAAATCAATCTAAATAAATCAACAAAAATCACATACTATTCTTTTAAGCACAAGAGTGGTGAAGATAGGAGTTTCTCAAAAATAATTTGCATGCAAATTGAAAGAAAAAGAAAAAAGAATCCAAGTTTGAAAAAAAGAGCAAAAAAAATCAAACATGAAAACTTTTATATGTAAATATAGATTTATATTTAATGTATATCTTTTAAAGTCCCTATCTCAAAGATTTTGTACTTTTCAATTTTGTCTACAAAAAGTTGTAAATGCTTTTTCTTAAACAAAAAGATGTAATCAAAATCATAGCTTATGATTTGTATTTCTAATTTCCAAATTCAGAATTAAAAAGAGAGAAATCATTTTTATAGTATACCAATTATTTAAAAGAAAAACAGAAAATAATCAGTTATAGCAAAACATTAAAATTTTTTTAGAAAAATGTTAGCAGTTTTAAAGTTTCAGAACTTGCTTATTATTCTATCAAAATGTTTTCTTTCAAGAAAAACAATACTTGAATTTTGATTACATCTGATTGTTTTATAATTATAGTAATCAATCATACTTAATTTTTATTTTATTTCACAAAATGAAAGTTACTTAAATACTATGAATACTTGAAAAGGTAATATCCATATCAGAAGAGTAAGTTAGTTATCTAAATGAAGATTCATTTCAAATCAATCCAAATACTAAATTGGAAAGAAAGCTAGATTTCACAATTTCCTATATTCATGTAGTAAAGTTTTTTCATTAAAACAAAAAGGTTTAAACAAACAAAATCCTAATTTATATTTTCATTGAATTTTATTTCATTAACAAAGATACTTAGTAAAACTAATCACTAAGCAAGTCACATTATATAGAAAGCAAGCACTGTATGTTTAATGTTGTGAACAAAAGAATGAAGATAAAAATTAGCAATCATATTTTATAGCTTACAAAACTGTTAGGTTTTATAAAAAGATTTGACAGGTGGATGTATCCTTTCTCATACCTTTAAAGTGTCTGAGAAAGAAAACAATAAGGCGTTAGATACATACAATTAAATTTTTTCAAAATCTGTTATATAAAAAAAAAGAATATAGGGTAGAGGAAAGTGTGGTGAGCAATCAGTATTTGTTTATATCAAGAATTAATAAATCTTCACATGCAGCAATTAATATTCAATAATTGTTAAGAAAATTTTAAATTTATGTATTTTTTTTTTTTTTAATGAGACTACTGCTGTCATTGTGACATAAGAGAATAAAATACTAAAGCTGAGAAATAGTCTATAACTTCAGGTTAAAACAAATAGTAAACCAGAAAAAATCAAAATCAATCTGAAATGAAATTTTAGCAATTCTAATCAAAACATGCAGAGAGAAAAGTCAATTTACTCCTACAGTCAATCTTGAATGGTTTGTGCCTCAAGATTGAGGAACACAAAAGTGTAGGCCACAAGTCAAACACTTATCTTACACTAAATAGATCTGAATGTATTAATATCAATATAAAAATACTAATTTAATAAACAATATATTTTTTTTAATTTTCTGCTTAGTATTTCAATTATAAAAACATGACTATTCTTCAAAGTGACCTTATTTAACTTTCAATTCAAAGAACATAAATAAAAATATCAAATGTTTTCAAAAATGGGTAGTTGGAGAACATTAAAATAATATTTTTTAAGGCAAAATATAAAATGACTTAACTCTAACAAAGTGGTGCACTGTAAAGCATTTAATACCTTACAGGTAAAAAGTGATGCATGCAGATCACATTGCTGTTTGTAGTATTGATAATATCTATCTCTCAGAGTGCAAGTGATTTTGAAACACAAGTGTAACCGGTGCCTTTCTCATGCACACAAACATAGAAAAAAGAAGTCATTCCTCACAAGAAATAACTGCAGAACATAAACACAAAAGAAATATTTATCTGCAAGAGCAGAATCAAATTATGATCAGCCTAATTTTATACTTTTTAATCAAAATATACACAGAGATTATCACACATCTTCACATTAAAGAATTTAAAGATAAAAATATAATCATTAACTTATAAGCTGTGAAGCAATATCTATAAGTTAGTTAATAATCAAAATGAAAAAATGTACTGAGAGCAGAAGCAGTTTTTGTCTTTTTTATGTTTTATATGTATTTGAATACAGGACTGGCGGTGAAAAGAAAAGAATTGAAGAGATGGGATTCCCCACCCGCCTCAAAAAAAAAAAAAAAAACAATGGAAAAAACTAAGTAATGAGATAGGGAGTGAAGAATGTTAAAATGTCAGAAAAAAAACAGAAACTCTTTCATGAAAAATATCCATCAGATAATTAAATGAGAGAGAGAGAATAGCTGACTCTAATGAGAAGAGAAGGAAATTGTGGGAGAGAAGGAAGTCCTATGGATAAAGCAAAAATTATTACCTAAAGAAAATAAAAAATAGAGAAGATAGAGTGTCTCAGTAAGAGAGACTAGTTCCACAGGATAAAAGACAATCTATATAAATCTCTTAGATCAAATTTCTATAGTAATTAAAAGAAAAAAAAAAAAAACTTATCAGTTAGTTACAGAAAGAGTATTATAGCAAAAAGCAAGAGATTAGTAGGTGCAGGATTGTTAATAGAAACAAAATAGTGCAAAATATGTGTGTGTATATGTGTGTGAGTAAATGTAGAGAAAAGGAGTATCATTGCTTGTTTGAGAGTGAACATGCCTTAGCCTCAGTTGACCTAAAGGCAAATCACACTAAACAGGATGAGCAAAGATATCATTTGGAAAAACCTCCAGACAATGATCAAAGCCATGGGATGAGTGAAGTTTGAAAAGTGTCTTTTCCAAATTACTCATATGAACTTTTATAAATATTACCTAAGTAAATAAATTCTACATTTATAATTCATCAGATTATTATCTAATTTGCCAAGTAAATTTATATTGAAGTTCAAACATTTCTACAGTAAACCAACACCCCCATCTTAAGAAGTGGAATCGCATGAAAGATAATGATTGTATTTTTTAAAGTAAAAATATGTGGCTAAATTTAACTCATTAGCTTCAAGAATAAGGCTATGTAAATTAAAAATATACTTGAAAAGATGCAATCTTAATATTTTTTCAGCATTTAACAAGAAATTTTAACAAATGAAGTTTTTTTTTTTTTTTATAATAAATGACCAAAATCTTTGTTCTTGGAATGTTAAAATACAAAAAAGTGATTTGTCTTTGCTTATATTTCGTGTTTCTTTACTCACTTCTAATTCTGCAGTATAATATTTTTTAAAGTTATGGCTATAACTTTCCCAAGACTGTTCAGAATTTGGGTTTAAAAAATCTATGCAGCATAAAAATAATTATGTTTAATTTATAAGGCTTCTTTGCTCTGTATGGTATTTCCAAATAACTGTGTATCATTCTTGAGGTGAGGAAACCAACACACCACATTTAAAAAAAAAAAAAAAAAAAAAAAAAAAAAAAAACAAAGAAAAGAGGTCCACCCGCATATCCTCACTCACTCAAGACACATTTTTCTTCTTGTGGGAAAAAAAAAAAAAAAAAAAGAAAAGTAAAATAAATAAAAAAGATAAAATAAAAAAGTAAAAAAAAAATGACAAAAATTAATATTTTTCCTTCTTACTTTGTTCTTGTGTTTCAATCAAACTTGTGAGAGATAGTTGAAGTCAAATCAACTTACTGCTAACGTCTCCATCTTAGTCTTCTCAATTCACGCTCAAGTTTTGTCCTAAGAAAAAGAAAAACAGACGTGAGGCGTAATATTTTAGAAGTCCAAGAGGATGCTTTGGTCATCACGTGTTCCTCAAAAGTCACTGGCATTTTGTGACATGTCGTGGAACACACTGAATGCTTCAGAAAAGGGCAGAGCTGATGACGGCTGACATTAATCAGCAAACTGCCGGAGAACTTATCCGACAAATAGCAGCAGCAGCAGCATAGGATGGTATTCAAGACGTGCTAGGATGGATGAGCAAGGAGCGCAAGGATGGAGACGGAAGAGAAATAGGAAAACAGAAAGAGCAGCGTGCAACCCTCAGATAGAGGGTGAGGGTATGATAGATAGACTGGAAATGAATAACACATTGTCTACGGAATTAGGGATGTGTGTGAGAGAGATATAGAAAAAGAGAGAGAGAGAGAGAAATAGGAAGAAAGAAAACCAGTGCTAATGAGCTTGAGTGGGTTGGTAGTGTAGTGTAATGAGACAAAGTGCAGTGTCATGCAGGTACCAAGTATAATAATAATAATAATAATAATACAGAATAAATATAAGACAGCTCCAAACTATGAGAGAAATATAAAAACAGACAACAGAAATTTTAATGAAAACAAAGTTGATTCAACTGGGAGATGATTGGTTACATACTGACTGATATTAAAATATCGAGCAAAGACATCACCCAGTTGGTATTGACAATTAAAGGAAGCTCACTAGGATTTGGAGGAAAGAATTATATAAAAAATCACCACCTGTTTGAGAGTTCTAATGTCCAGAAAGGAAAGTCATATGTAGATGCTTAAATGGTGTATGATGATAGATAATTAAAAAAACTAAATGTTTGTCTGAAAGCCAGTAAAAAAAAAAAAAAAAAAAAAAAAATCAATCTAGGCTGCCAAACAAACAAATGACAGGCTTATATATATATATATATATATATATATATATATATATATATATATATATATACACACACACACTGGGTGTAATGGCAAAATTGTCCAAATCATATAACAGCATTGGATAATTGTCCATCTCACAAAATGTTTAATATGTAAAAAAAAAAAAAAAAAAAAAAAAAACATTAAACTAATTTAGTTTCTCTTTTCCAGGTTTTCAGATAATACGTTTGGGCATCTTGACAACATTTGTCAAAAGAATCACTGAAAAACCCTTTCAGTTATTCCGCTAGAAAGAGAACAGGTTAAAATCGTTTTATGTCAGCCCCACTATATCTTCCCAATTGAGCAATAGTGAGAGGAAAAAGATCATTCAGGTCTTCAGTAATGGTACAAACATTAATATTCTGGTTTCAGTCTTCAATATCCATTCGAGAACCATCACAAGAATGGTGAATAAGTTTGAAAAAGTGGGAGCAGTAGAGGGGAGAACTGGCTCAGAAGGTAATAATAGCAAGAGGGATCAACATTTCAACTTAGAGCTAAATACATTCTTATTGTTCAAAGTAGATTCCAGTAGGGTTATAAAAAAACTTGGAGAATTCCAGTAAGATATCTTTAATCATTAAGATACAAAGGTTCAAAGCTTAATCTAATAATTGGACAATTTTGCTGTTACACCAAGTGTGTGTGTGTGTGTGTGTGTATATATATATATATATAATTATTTATTTAAAAATAGCAATCCTTCTCTAATACATATTTCATAAAAAATGACTGACATGGTACTGTTGTTAATTTGTTTTATTGTATTTATTGCAAACAAGATATCTTTTTGGGACTTGGTATGTATAGAGATCGTCCAAATGATTGTTTGTTCTGAGCATTTTCGGCTAAACTATTAGCTATTTTTAAGGATATTATTTGTGTTAATATAAATGGTGTACAAGTTGCTAAAAGGTAGATGAATTTTTAATTCCTGAAAATGGAAAGTACATTATGCTCATGTTTGTAGACGATGTTGAAAATTGGTTTTTATGATGAGGACTTCTTTTAGACATTTTTACAGTTAAAGACATTATATTTGTGCTTTCAATGTGCATGTCATGTATCAAAGTTGGTAAATTTTCATTTTGATTTAAATAGGTCCTTATGGATCTATGATCTGAGAGATGTAGGGTTAGCCATCATGGTAAGAGAGTGGTGGTATTTTTGACAATTATTCATGAATTTGTTTTCATCAGGAACACCACTGGGTCATTTGAATTCATAAATAATGTTAGTTCTATATAGTTTAGACTTCATTGGAGAGTTGTTATTGATAAGGTTGGCTCAAAAAAATACTACATGCCTGTACAACCAAAGTTCTTTTCTATGCCAACAATGACAATATTTATACTGAAACAAAGGGAGTTAGTATGGGTAGTCCCTTTGAACCAACCTTCTCCAAGTAATATATGTCTTGTTTTTGAAAGTCTCAAAGTTTTTCAAAACTTTAAAAAACCTAAAATTTATGTCCAGTATGTAGATATTTTCATTTTAGGCAATTGTAAAAAAAATAATGGAAAATCTTAAAACTACATTTAAAAAGAAACCCCCCCCCCACAAAAAAAAAACCAACAAAAAACAAACTGTTCTAAAATTTAATTATAAACTCAGCTATAACAACAAAATTCCATTCCTAGACATTCTCATAGAATCCAATAATAATACATTTCACTATATAAAACTCACAAGTAAATCTGCCATTTCAATTTTAATAATGTATGTCCATTTAGATACAAATTAGCAGTAATAAAAAACTTTGTAACAAAATCTTATCTTCACACCTTAATTCTTAAAAACCTCAAAAATGTAAAACACTAGTCCTTGATCATTATAGACAGCCAAATTAAATTCTCTCAAAACTAAGTAATAATAACTCAGTCCACAAAGATAACAGCAATAATATTAATATATTTTACCAAAACCAGATGCATGGCAATTACAAACAAAATTAATTCATTCTAATGAATATTATTAAAAAATGCATTACTCCAGTTGAACAAACTAAAAATATCAAATTATCTACTACAAAAAATTTAAAACAGCCAACATTATCAGAAAGAAATCTCCAGTGAAGTCCAAATTATAGAAGATCAACATGATTTATGAATTCAAATCACCCATAGTGAACTGTGTTCCTGACAAAAACAAACTCATGAGTAACTACATTGGACATCCCATCACTCTTATCAAAATGGTTGATCCAATATCTCTAAGACCATAGTTACATAAGGACCCACTTAAACCAATATGAAAATTTACTAACATACTTGTTGAAAATATAACAAGTCTCTAACTGTAAAAGTGTCCAAAAATAATTGAAGCCCTTATGAAAAAAAAAAACAAAAAAAAACAATCTTTGATAACAACTACAAACACGGACACAATGTATTGGCCATATTCAAGAATTAAAAATATGTCTACCTTTTATCAACCTATGCAACATTTTCAATCACACAACCAAAATCCTTGAAAATGGCTAATAGTTTAACTGAAAACACTCAGAACAATCATTTGAACAATTCCTACACACTAAGACCAATAAAGAAGTTTTGTTTGCACACAAGTAAATGCAACAAAATAACTTAAGTGCCTTATACATATTTTAATACTTAATCTTTCAGATGTAGTTTATGACAACACTTGTTTTTAAGTCAAGGAGTCATTAAAAAACTGAAAACGTTCTAAATAATTAAAATAGTTTGATAAGATTTAAATAATTAAAATAGTTTGATAAGATTTAAATAATTAAAATAGTTTGATAAGATTTAAATAATTAAAAAATAAGATTTAAATAATTAAAATAGTTTGATAAGATTTAAATAATTAAAATAGTTTGATAAGATTTAAATAATTAAAATAGTTTGATAAGATTTAAATAATTAAAATAGTTTGATAAGATTTAAATAATTAAAATAGTTTGATAAGATTTAAATAATTAAAATAGTTTGATAAGATTTAAATAATTAAAATAGTTTGATAAGATTTAAATAATTAAAATAGTTTGATAAGATTTAAATAATTAAAATAGTTTGATAAGATTTAAATAATTAAAATAGTTTGATAAGATTTAAATAATTAAAATAGTTTGATAAGATTTAAATAATTAAAATAGTTTGATAAGATTTAAATAATTAAAATAGTTTGATAAGATTTAAATAATTAAAATAGTTTGATAAGATTTAAATAATTAAAATAGTTTGATAAGATTTAAATAATTAAAATAGTTTGATAAGATTTAAATAATTAAAATAGTTTGATAAGATTTAAATAATTAAAATAGTTTGATAAGATTTAAATAATTACAGATAGTTATTTTAACAGGAATAAAGTATGTAATTCAAAGCTTGGCAATAATATGGCTGATAGTGAGACTGAATATGCCATCATCTGAACCCCTAAATGAAGGAACACAATTATTTGAACATTGTCAAAAAAAAAACAAAAAAAAACAACAACATCACTCATTACTTATGCCAGGTTTCTGAACACCAGCTTATAATTAAGTCAGAATTTTATGCAGACTTCTATTATTTGTTCCTGTTCAATTATTATTATCAGGATGAGAAAATTTTCTCTAATAATAATTGTTGAAATGCCTTTAATTAAGAGGAATCAATAAGCTTCTCTACTTTATTATTCATTTTACAAATATATGAAAACTAAGTTAAAAAATGAAAATTTGAAAAACAGCTAATGAAAAAATCTAACAAGCACATATTCAGAGTTTAATATAAAAATTTATCAAGACATGTACAAAAATATATTTCCAGTCTGCTAACACCATAATAAAACAGGTGTTTTCATGTTACTGAGAGTATATATATATATATATATATATATATATATATATAAAATGATAAAAATGGATATTTTAGAAAACCATGGTAATATTTTATTTCACAAGATCAAATCGATCTCATTTCTTCAATCTGATATGAAATTGTTGGTCTGATGAGACGAGATCGATTTGATCTCACAAAATAAAATATTACCATGGATTTCTAAAGTATGTTTTTCATCATTATTATTTGCTCAGTTCTTACATTGAGCTTTCTTTGGATGTATATCCTCTTTGGAATTATCCATACTAATTAACAAACAATATTTATATATATATATATATATATATATATATATATATATATATATATATATATATATAGAGAGAGAGAGAAAAGGGGTGGAAGGCAATATTAGATTTTTAACCTTTCAAATATATTAGTGGCAGAAAAAGTCACTGAATTTGCTTGAGTGAAAACACTAAAAGCATAAATTTTAAGAGCAAACAAAGACTCAACATGAATCCAACAAAAAAAAGTCTGTTACAAAGTAATACTTTAAGAAAAATAAATTATGTATTTGTTTAAAATTTGCCATATTTATGGGAGAAAAGTGTTCAAGATCAGATACAGAACATGTATGAATATAGAATATAGTGTGGTTGTAAGAAACTGATAGTCACCATGCAGTATCTTATATAAGATAGTGTGAACTGCATGGTGACCGTCAGTTTCTGTGTGTGCATGTACACACATTTTGAAAAAAATGTACTAAATAGACTCTAAAATTATAATCATGTGAATACATAAAAAGATATAATTTTACTACATTATGAACAATAACATCCCCAATTAAAAACAACTCTAATCCTTAAATTAAAAATTTAATAAACTTCTTATATAGGGACAAAACATTAAGAAAAATTAACAGGAAACAGACTAAAAACCTTGGTTTTAAATAAAAATATATTTACCTGGAAATGTAGAAAACGGTTTATCAGCAATGTGCAGATAAAATTTAAACAAACTTACCTCAAAAGCAATCAAAATCTTCACCCAATTTTAAATTTTACCATAATGGAGAAAAAAGCCATAAAAATTACTTTTGGAAATTTGCTAAGTGTTAAAAAAATGCATTATGCATATATTTTGTGTGTGATACAGTTTTACTTCGTACTGATTATAATACTATAATCCTTGTCTCATCTGCAGACAAAGATAACTGAACCTTGCCCAAGAATTCATAAGCTATTAAAAATATCTTCCTAAACTTTCAATGGACTATTTTGTATTTAGCTATAAAATTACACAAAAGCAGTTTTAAATTACTGAGAATAGTAGATTAATTAATACATTATTAAACATTTTATATAATACTTTTTAATAATGAAAGAGGCTTGTCAATAATTACATAGTAAATACCTTTATTATGATTAATAACTTTTTAATCATGAGATGAAACAAATTGCTATTCTGTATTATTTTTTTCAAATATTTTCAAAATAAACAAACTTGTCAACCAAAGATAATTTTTCTTATATCAGTGAAAAAAAAAAATCATTTTTTTCTCCTTCTTAAAATTTAATTAACAGAATCCAATTTCTAAACTCATTTAACCAGAAGCATTTATGAGATAGATGAGCAAGGAAATAGCTATATCAACAAGTTTTTAGGTACATTGCATTTAATAAACTGTTTCTCAGTATATATTTCCTAGTATGCACAGATGTATCTAATGCTCAACCATATCCTCCAATCAATAAGATCCATATTAAAAATATTTTGTATAATATTTATCTACATAAATACTGTCATACAGCAACAAACATGCTCAGTATGTGAGTATAATTTCCCTCATATTTATCTTTTATGAATAGGTTTCATATCTGATTCTTCCAAAATTAATGAAAACCAGCTTCCCAGTAGATACTGTGGAAAAATATTTACCTCTAGAATATCAGGGAGGAAACATGCACCAGTATAAAGTAAATGAGAATTCTACAATATTCATATTAATAAGAACTAAGGTCAATTGTAGGAAAAACATCTCCTTCAGTATGAAAATGCAACAAAGATTTAAGTAAACAAGAGAAATCAAAATAGAACACATAGTCAAAGAGAAAGAGATAGATAGATAGATAGATTGGGAGTATGTATATAATCAATCTGTACAATTACTTTATTAATTTGTGCTTCGTGCAAGTGAAATCAACTGTTTTACATAACAGTAAAAGTCAGTTACTTAAAGGGAAAAAGCATACATGTGGTATGCAAACATTCAAGCTGTTCAACAATTTTAAAAACATTCTATTTTATAAACTAAAAGTTGATAAAATGCAGCTATGTACAAAGCATGTTATTTCAAAACAAACAATAAAAAAATGAAGATGATTAATTACAGGCAGTCCTTGCTATGTGTGTGTGTGTGTGTGTGTGTGTATATATATATATATATATATATATATATATATATATATATATATATCTCTCAATGAAACAATAACAAAAATTTTTTCCCCAAAAAATACACATAAAAACTGCTTTTTGCCTAAAGCTGAAGATATCATTCAAGCAATTTATCTATTTTATTTATCAAAGTACAACTAATATGTACAAAATGTTTTCATGTATTGTGCTGTAAATAACTTGAATTTTATGCTAAAATATTAATAAGCCTTTTTAGATTCTAATGGCACAATAAATTCATTCATTATCCGTTACTTCTCAAAACATTCAGAAAAAACATACACATATGATAATTCATAATTTTAAATAGTATTAGAAAGTCTAGTGTGTGTGTGTGTGTGTGTGTGCACATATGCACATGTACTGTATTAGCTGATATAATTACCTCCAGGCTTGATTTAAATGCTTTTGAAAATTACATAATCTTTAATCTTTATAACATCAGAATGGAAGTAATTCCCTCGCACTTTTATAAACTAAAACAAAAGTGAAAATAAAAACTATATAAGCATCAGCATCTTATAACTGGCAGAAGATTTTCAATTTTTAAATGGAAATACAAAGATATGAAAACAATATTTGAAAAATTGATGACATTGGAAAAAGGCTATATGGAATTCTAACAAGAAGGCTTAATGAACTTGTGGCTTTATAACATGTATAAAAAAAAAAAAGGCTTTTTTTTTTTACAATTCATAATATCCATAAAATTATTTGCTCATTTATTGATTACATTCTTCTACATTTCAAAATTTAGTTTGAACTTAGTAAAGGACCTAAGAAAATGTTTATTGAAAAAATACTTTTCACATTCCACACAACCTTTATGAATTTGCAATTTCTATAGAAAGGACTACCTGCAGAGAAAAATGAGATGAATTTAAAGTGACAGAGCAAACAAAATGACTTGGTCAAGAATCATGCATCCTTATGTTAAAGGGGCTTTATGAACTATTTCAAGCTCAGACAGAATAGGGGAGAGGGGAATGTTAATTCACAAAAGCATAACACACACGCACACACATTCACTCGTACATACTTAGTAGTTCCCAAGTAAATCATCTCAACTGCTTCTTGCCTCTGTCCAGTCCAATGTTTCACACATCAGTGAACAAAAAACAAATACTGCTTAATTCATTCCTGCTTTATCTAACTGCAATTTTTAACAATTTATTTTTTAAATAATTGCCAATGACTTTCAACAACAAAGATACTTGTGTATCACTAATACATTTGGCCAACAATGAACAATAAAATGCAAAAATCAAATAAATCCACTAATTTTAATATCATCAAGTTCCAATTTTATAAAATGTTTTCAGTAAAATATGGAAACTCAATGTTCTAAAGAAGTCTGAAAGAAAAAGCTACCAAATATTGATTTAAATAAAAACAAAAATTTAAGAAGTGAGGCCCATTTCATGATTTTGAAAGTAGCTGCTAACAAGTAGTATATGACAAATTTGTGAGGCAAATGATGTGTCTCCTATCAGGTGACATGTCTGTGCCCACAGGATGCTGGGATCAAGGCCGGAAGTGACACATACTGAACAATGACAATAGCAGTGCTCAAGGGTAGTATCCATTCCACAGAGCTTACCTTGGAAAAGCCACCAGCAAACCTCCACAGTCCACCAAATCCTATACCTGAAATAAAAGTGAATACTGTATCTGGTGGTCAGGTAAAAAAGATAAAATATATTCAGAATTAAATTCACTAAGAAATGGTTCTTAATTGTTACCGAGATGTGAAACAAAGTGAGAGGGAACATTTTTCTTTTAAATTTTTTTTTTTTAAAAAAATAATTCCACTATTGATAAAGAAGTTGGTTAGATGAGTGAGGTTTTCAGACCTTTAACATTACCAAATATGAGTTATCTACACTGATAAGGCACATTTCTGAAATAGACTGGAACCAAAATGTAGCCAGCAGAGAAGCTTGATTACAAAAGATATGTAAACCACACATTTATCTGCATGGATTGAAATTAGCCAATATTTACCATAAGTATTTTTCTAAAGAATTAATAGATTTTATTTATTAATCTGACATATTTTTATTACTTTAAAAAATAACATTTAAAGTAATAAAAGTATGTATTGTTATTTAATCATTACATTAAAATTATTAGTTTATTTCTTTATTATCCTCTTGTTAATAGAAACATTTCCATTTTATGGAAATCTGAAAATGAAAACTATAGCAAAGTATTGCTATATAAGATACTAAAATGATGCCAATAGCATGAATAATAATTTTTTATGTATCATCTAAAACATTTATACCATGAAAACATAATCAGAGGCTAACTTTTTTTACTTGTATGTTGGTTGAATATTCCAATGAAATAATATCTAGAATACCTGCCTGATTCTCTTTTGAGATTATGCTAGATGATTTTTTTAAAACATAAAATTTAATATTCAAAGAACATTTCAAAATTGATTCAATTCAATTTGGAATCTTTGTGAACAAAATGCTAGCACATATACAAATACTACACTATCTAATGTTCTAAACATTTCACCATCTTAATTTGCAAAAGATGAATGAACCAACCAAAAATTTAACTCAGAAGTTTAAAAGATGACTGGAGCAAGAAAATCTGAAGCTTAATCCTCAAGTTTACATGCTTCACTAATCTAAACCAAAAATAGAAAATATACTTCAAATCTGAAATAAATCTACTTTCTGGTTTGTACTTTTAATATTTACAGTTCTTAAGTAATAAAGAATAATTTCTTTATAAATACACAAAATATTAGATCTGGCCAAACATGAACAGGAAATTGAACTCCTTTGATATTGTTTTCACTGAATTTATGAATAATATCCAAAGCAGACTATTTGAATAACTTTAAAATTAAGGTCATAGAATTGCTCTTGCAACATTTTATCTGTTTTTTTTTTCTTTGTTTCTATTGAAATTTGGTGCAGGTGACACAAACTATGAAATAGAAAAGCACTTAGAAAGTAATACAACTGTAGTCTCAGGAAATTGTACTGATGCATTTAAAAAGGATCTATTCCAGTGCAGGAAGCAGGAGAATTAAGATATTTTCAAAGTTTGGAACTACTTAAATGAAGAAAAGTAAGAAAAACAGTGGCAAATGTTATTTCAATGCAAAAGCTTCATGAATAAAGTTTGGAGCTCAAAACTAAAGTCAAAGAATATGATGAAAACACTGTTTGATGCATTTTCAGAGCTGACCTAAATTCATCAGTAACATACTAGAAAATTTGCAAACAATGAACATCAATTCAGTTAAAATGTTCACAGTATGAGAATTTTCTGGCACTTCTTTAAGTGAAACTCTAAATTTTTGCATAAAATTTTAGATAAAAAAAATACAACTAGATTTTTTAATTTTTTACATTTCATATAGATGTAAAAAGCTACAGCATATTTACACCTCTAGCAAAAAATGTTTTTGAAAATAAAATTAAGGGATTTATGATAGTTTTTAAAATGGGAAATTCTATACTTGTAACTGAATATTACTAAATAATGTTGCTAAACACACTTTACTTTAAACAAATGACCAAAATTGGTAAACCAAAGTTCCATAAATATTCACACCTGTAACAAAATGTCTAATTTTGGCTGACAGCATTATTACACTACAAACTGTTACTTCACATTATCATGGATGGTTGTACATTAAGTTGTGACATTTGCAGTGAAATTTACAGTGGATTCTTCCCATAAATAGTTGGTAATATATGTCACACAGTGCTTGTCAGTTAACATGTGTAGCAGTTATGAAGTCCAAAGGGTTATCAGAAAACCTGAGAAAGAAAGTTATAGAAAAAACACAAAGATTAAAAGGTACCAAAATGTACAGTGGCATCTGTGGTTAGGAAGCGAAAGGTTCATGGTACCATAACAAATCTCAGAAAGACAAGGTGCCCAAAATGACAAGCACAAAGTTCAAATTGGTCAGATAAACCAAAACCAACACTTCCATGACTCTTGAAGATCTGAAGTAGTTTGTCCCTCAATATGTCCACAATATGATGTACTTTACACAAGGAAGGTCTTTATGGGCATGTAAGAAGAAAGAAGTTGCTTTTGAAGAAAACTTGTCTAGAGCATGCAACTAAACATCAAAACTTTCCAGCTATGTGTGTGGAAAGAGTTATCTGGTCATATGAAACCAAAAGAGAGCTTTTGGGCCTGAATTCCAACATGTATGTTTAGCACAGACCCAACACAGCTTATAATCAGGCCCATGGAGATGATAGCATAATGCTATGGGACAGTTTATCTTCCTCTGGTTACGAGGAGCTAGTCTGTGTACAAAGTACCATTGACAGCACCAAACAATTCTGGAAGAAAACCTCTTCAAGTATACAAGAAACCTGAAGCTTGTGAAAAAGACCAACAATCCCAAAAACACTATAAAAAACTTGAGGATAGTTTCAAAAGAAAAACGTGCAAATTTTAAACTGTCCAAGTTAGAGTCCAGATTTGAATCCCAGCATAAGAAGAATTTGAAAATTGCTGTCCATTAAAGGTGACCAACAAACCTGACTCAGCTGAAACCAGTACTGCAAAGAAGAGTGGACTAAACTGTCCAAGAAACATTGCACAAAATTTGTCACAGGCTATCCAACAAAACTGGCATCTGTTATCGTTTCAAAAGGAATAGGTGTGAATACATTTGCAATACTGTAAAATTAATATTTTGTCATTTTAATAAACTTGAACTGTAATTGTAATTCTTCTGACTATCCAACTGAACTTATTGTACAATTTTGTATGAATATTATTTATTAAAAATGATAACTGACAGTAAAAGTGTATTTTTCATGTGGTAATACTTTTGCAACCTGTTGGATTGGTTGCATTTGATCAGATACAGGTTGTTTATCAAATGACAAAAAGTATCTAGTTGTATTTGCCAATTTCCATAAGTTTGGCACAAAGCACAATTTACAAATTTAACCAGTTTGATATGAAAACATCAATTCTATAAAAAAATAAACTTTTAGAAAATGATAAAGTAAGCTAGGAAAAGAAACATTACAGAATGTGGTAATGAGTAGAGTTTCAGTAAAATCAGGTTAGAAGTGAAAATGAGGGGATTTTTAGAAAATCATGAGAGAAGAATATGTGCAAAAGAAAAAGGTGAATGCTGAATAGATGCTTGTAGATAAAAGAATATGGCATTCGTTGGGTTAAGAAAATGCAAAAACTGAAAGTATCAAGTAATTTTAATAAGTATAATAGATGCTCATACAAAAATTGGTATAAAAAATATAAAATGCTTCATAAAAATTAGGTGACATGGTTAATGAAATTATTTTTTTAGTACAGCTTACAAAAATTTTACGTTGAAATACTCTAGTTCAAAATCTTTTTTCTTTAATTCTAAGGAAGTTAGGTGTATTGCTACCTTAAAAATTATATAAATTTTTAAGGTAACAATTGAATTTTAGTAATAAATTTTAGCTGTTATTGTGAAGAGGCTATAAATCAAAATCAATGACTTTCTAAAATGTAACATATATCAGTTGATTTTAAAGTTATATACCACCATTCAAGAAAAGAAACCAAGTTAGAAAATAAAAAACTTAGTTATCATTTTTATAAATATGAATAAAACTACTGCTTCAAATTAGCAAGGAGCAATTAATATAGAATATGAAAAAAGATATGTAAAGAAAGAGACAAATGCTTACTTTGTAAATAAGATAACTGTTGTTGTGATGAATCTTCACAAGCAATCATATTTTGGATGATACTTTGGACTGCATTCAGGATAGCTTGGTCCTGACTTAACGATAACACAGAGTTGATTTTCGCATCTAAAAGGCTATGTCTGTAATGGAAAAAAGTATTTAAGTCAAAGCCAACAACAGACACATTATGAGATTGTATAGTCCAATTATATGCAAAATAGTAAAAGTTCAAAAAGATTATTCTGAAGGAAATGTCTTTTTTTCTTTTTAACTTATCTTTAAAAATTTTAAGATATTTTAAAATATACTGTCATACCAAACTAAAGTCTGTATATACAATTTACAAAAGTTTTCCGACGAGTAAGCTCTGTATGATTACTAAAGGGAAAAATTGATTTGTTGAATAAAATGTTATGAAATTTAGTTTAAGATAATTAATCTTCTCACAATATTTAGGATTATAAATTAAAAATAAAATATTCCAATGCACATTTATTCCTTTCATATGAAAATATTAAAAAAGAAATTCAGATAGGTAATGGTTTATAATAATATACTGGGTTCTATTAATTGTGACAGATAAGATTTAACTCAATCTTCATTGCTGATATAATTGAGATTTTCAAAAGAAATTTATTTTGTAATATAGTGGGTCCACATCTTGTGCAGTTTTCAATATAGACAGTTGGAAGTTATTTTAAATTCAAAATGGCTTTAACATTCATTTTATTTCAAAATATAAAGGAGAAAACTAACCCCTTCTGCTATCATTCTTTTTCTGAATGTTCTCCTTATATTAAAGAGTTCCTAATTTCCTCAATGCAAGTTTGCAATATTCACTAAATATAATGTTTTTGTGTTAACTTTCTGTATGAGAAATAGCTCTAAAAAAGCTTAGTGAGAAAAGCATTACGAAGGGCAGTGATGAAAAACCTTAATAAGGCAAAAGTGCTAAGTGCTGGACCATGTGTATGGCTGAAGTAGTTGAGTTTCATATCTATGCAATAAAAAAAAGAAAATGAAATTTGCAAACATGTTAATGTTTCTTCCTCAACAGTGAAAATGGTGTCTTCAGTTTGTAATAAATTGCTTGTAGATATCAAGAAAGTATTAAATGTGTGGTTACACAACATTGGACAGAAGCATGTCCATATCCCTGTTGATTAACACCTCCAGTATGAAAAAGTGCTTAACCTATATAAACCTTACAGTGACAAAACATTACAATCTCAAAACTCTCAAAATCACAGGAGAAATTGCAACAGCTGATATGGAAGCAGTGCTGATGTTGCCAGAACATCTAAAAAAATTATATCAATGAAAAAAAAAAGCTACTGTCAAGAGCAAGTCTTTGACTGTGATGAAATATTTCTTTTCTGAAAGAAAATTCTGAATCATACCATCATAAGAGTACCAACCAGACCCCAGAATTTATGGCTTAGAAGGATCATCTTTGTTGTTATATGGCAATACAGCAGCTCATAATATACAAAAGCAACAAACTCTGTGTTCTTTAAGTGCAAAAAGTAAAAAATATGCTATTTATATTCTGGTAACACACTAAGAAGGCTTGAGTCATGATACTTTTCTTTTTCAATTGGTTTCATCAATTGGCTCTGAAGTGAACAAATAGCTAGAGATTCAAGGGACTTATCATTGATACTGCTCCTAGTTTTCCTGAGGAAGAATACAAGTTGTTTCTGATTTTAAACATGACATCACTACTGCAGTCACTTGATGAAGACATCCTGATGTGTGTGAAGGTCATGTACACTTGCCTGACCTTTGTTAGGATTAGTGCTACACTTGATGCTAACCTAGATTGCAGTATCATGGATTTATGAAACAGCTTCACAATTGTGGATTCAACCAAGCTTAATGTGGAACCTACCTTTTAGATATCATTGTGGAGCAAAGCAGTCAAGAGCTTCCCTCCAATTAATGGAAAGAGATTTAGCAGGTTGTCATGGAAATTAATAAAGGCTTCTCTGACGTAATCAAGAAAGACATTTGAACAGCACATCAAAAAGCAACAAGAAATACTTACTGATAAAAAGCTGCAAGAAATGCTGAAATCTTTGACAAAAGATGAAGCTGAAGAAGCAGAGGCCAATCCAATATTGTGTGTAGGCACTGTAGATGTTTGGAGCAGTTTTTCCCCAGGCCCAAGTTTTTAAGGATATAATCAAGGAGTCTGGCTATTTAATGGAACAAAATAAGTTTTGGTCCATTGAATGACTGTACGCATCTGCATATTAACAGCTTACCTAGAACCATGGTAACAGTTGTTTGATAAAACTAAAGAAAAAGAAAACGTTTTATAACTGTGTTGTTTTTTTTTAACAAGAAATCCACAATTGTAAAGCCTTGTTCCACTCAAAAATTCTCAGCTATCAACCTCCAGAGAACATGACATTACTCCTCCTCCAAAAATATGACATACATAGGCAATTACCTATAAAGTTCTTGAACATAGATGGTGTTTGAATAGTATGGGTGGTTGAGGAACCAATTAACTGCATCATATGCAGGCCCACTATAATACAATTAATTTATTCAGTTGAGCATCTATTATACTCTCTAACAGTCTGTTACAAGTTTCAGGTCTTATATTGTATACATTTTAATTCGGTTTTCATAGATATATGTTACCACATAACAGGAATCATCACATACTTGTCTAACTGCATTCAATATGCATACATAATAAAAATAACACTTGAAGATAATTATGAAATATAATGCTGAAAACATTGAGAGAAAAGCAAAAAGATTATGGATTAATAGCATTCTAAAGATATATATGTTTAGATTTTGCTCTATCTTTGCAATATTTATAGGGGAAGAGTGCTCAATATTGTAGAGTGCTTATGGATATAGACAGTGTCGATATAGGATCAATTATTGCATGGTGACTGTTAGTTTCATGCCTCAATGAAATCTTCAAGCCAAGTGCCACCAGTATGTCTTTAACCCACACTATCTCTCTCTTCCTACACAGCTTATCCAGCTTATAAAATTAGAACAACCTACCCAGCTAAAATCCTGTTTCTATTTCACTGATTGTATTCTTAGCTGTTTTCAATTTTTTTTTAAGATTCCTTTTCTCAAAGGAAGCTTATTTAGCAAACAAGATGTTATACAAAAATACTTCAAGTTGTATATGTTAATGTGAGAAAAATTAAAAAGCAAAGCCTCAAATGGAATTTTAATTCAGTTAATCTTTTTTTCCTTTTAGTTTTTTTTCTTACAATCATTGCAAAAGTGTTTCCAATTCAATGACTTGAAGTGAGAAAAATGTGGCCTCAAACTTTCAGTTGAGGGATATTTCTTCTATTGATCTAATTTAATTTGCTTAATGTCTCTTGACTAAAGATGGAGAGAAGAATCAGTTTGTGACTCCTTCAAGCCATTAATTAGGAAAGAATTCCACTGGATAATCAACATCATAGCACATAATTCTTATGGCTTGCAAAGATCCGAGACTATCATCTTCATAATTTATTAGAACCAAGGATTTAATCATTTCTATAGTGTTTCTTAGCAATGGACATATTAATCAACCCTTTGATCACTCTCCCAACATTAATCAGATTTTGCCATCTGTTTTCTTTTGTCCTAATCTTAAAAACATGTTATTGTTTATAACATCAGTAACAAAACTTAATTTTCATTTTGTTTTTTTTTAATCTATTTATTTTTATTTATTTTATTTGTTTTTAAATATCTAGCTTTATCTGAGTTAAATATTTAACTATTGCAAAATGTTTTTTCTAATGCTACCTAGTAAAATCTTAGTTACCCTAAAGAGGGGTGAGAAGGCTAATAGTGAATATAATACACAAAAGTCCTAAAAGAACATCACTAACAAATATGAAAAAAAATATTCTATACTTACATCACAGGAAAGACGCGGGGAAACACAACTGAGGCCTCTGCTAAGTACTCATATAATATTCTAGCTTCATTTTCATCTGTTGTGTTTCTCACTAATGTTGCCTTTTAGAAATAAAAAGAAAAAAATATAGATACTTCTTTCCTGTAAAACGATGGATACTAAAAATACAGTTTGCAGAATGGTTTATCAATATATCATATTGATGCAATCTTCAGAAGCTGTAAAGACTCAGATTTTCTCTTGTCACATAGCAAAAACTTAAGTATATGAAAAATTGATATTTTCTGATATTTCCATCAGCTTTCAAAACTCATAGATTCACATTAAGTTGAAATTAAATCATTATTTATTCAGAGTACTAGAGTTGTGAAGATAAAACTGAGAAAACTACTACTTTATAGCAAAAATTTATATTTATGGTGTTATTTAATCAACAGTTAATGATAAAAAATACTTGGTAAGTAAAAATGGTTATGTGGATCTGGAGTGTATTTATTTCAAGAAATTATTTTAAATGCCAGAAAAATGAAATTTCTTACCAGTACAGTTAGTACCAACACTTGTGTAGAATAGTCTGTCAACACTTCAGGATCAAGTAGAACATTATTTTCATTAGACACTGAACCACGGCCACTGCGAGGCAGATTGAGCCCTGACTTGGTGTTGTCAAGTTTCTTAGAACCTGGTGTTGGCATTGAACTGCTTCTGGTTTTAAACAATGGTGGCCGAGTTGAAGAATCTGCATCAAAGCTGCGCCAAACCTTTGGACTGTTCACCTAAAAAAAAAATAAATAAATAAAAAATGATAACACTACCATTAGATATATTTGCATAGAAACAATTATTTTACTTTAAGCAACAGATTTAAATGGTTTTAGTAAAATCAAGTTTACAAAATTCTTTTTCATAAATATTTTCGGTAAAAGGATTTTTTTGAAAATAAAAGTTTATTAAAAAAAAAAAAAAAAACATGCATTAGATCATACAGAAAATGTACCAAAAGAACATAAGAGAAAAATATAATTCAGAAAGAGAAAAATTATAAAGATTTAATCCTTGTTCAAGAACTGTTATTTGCATGTTCCTTAAAATAAAAAACCAAATCTCAACCATGACAATTTATTCATAATGATAAACCAAGAGATAATATTTCCTAATTATACAGAGCCAAACATGAATCCAAGTGATGAAGAGAAAATCTTTATCTGTGAAACAAGAAGAAAGCCAACTTAAAGAGAAAAAGAGAGCAAAACAACAACTTTCTAAATTCACAACTATTATGCGAGAGATACTTTTATGGTTTTTCTATAACATTTTTTTTTACTCAGGGTACGTCAAAACACTGCATAAATGTGCACACTTTAGTCTCATCAAGGTTGAAGGCAATCTAATCTTTTATACTTGGAATACTTAATTTATATTCCAAATAGTAAAACCACTAAATAAAAACATAAAACTGGATTAAATATTCAAAGTTTTTTTTTCAAAGAATGTAAAGTTTAGTATTAAATATTTTTTGTTACTAACTGTTAAAGAAACCTACTACACATTTTCCTTTGCCAAATGCTAAAATGAATCAAAATTGCAATAGAATTTCCACCTGATCAATATAAACTTCATATTTTAATTTATAATAGTCTAAATCCACAGAAATATTAAAAAACCTCTTCAATTGTTGGATTTATATATATATATCTGTATGTATTCCACTATCTAATGTATTTATCAAAACACTTTGATATCATATACACTTCAGAAGTACATCTCTATGTTCATTACTCAAAACTTCCATGTGTAATATTCACATATTAATATGTGAATATTAGCTTAGCTTTAGTTGTAATGGGCACCAATGACATCTGGAAGATTATTATCTGAAATATAGGTGAGTAGTACTTCTGCTTTCATCTTTCTTTTTTTACTATTATCAAAATATTGTGTGCATCTATAAATATTTTATCTACAAATGTATCATACAAAAAGAATCAATACTACAAAATAAGAAAACTAAAATCCTAACTTTCAAAATATTAAAATTAAGAAAGTAAAACAAAATATATAACAGGAAATCAGTATTTTTTTTGATCAGTAATATGCAAAATATCAAAAATTAAATAAAAAAGAAAAAAAAGTCCCATTAAACAAAATAAACACAAATTGAAATTATAATATCCTTGGCATATTATGTCTCAAAATGTATAAGTTGAAAACAAAAGTTTACTGTATTAAAAAGAAAAGCAATGTCTAGCATCTCAATATTGACACTGAAAATATAAACATTTATAAAATTTGAGCAAAATAAGTTTTATCTAGGATAAGACAAACATTTTCCACAAAATGACACATTGCAATTTTAATCTTTAGAAGTACTGAATGTGGTAAATTATGTTTGGGATTTACGTTTTTAAAATTAATCTGAGTAGTTAATCATTATATTCAAATACCTTTTGCAAGTAAATTAATTTTTCTCTTGTAATATTTGCTTTAAAAAGCATTTACAAAAGACTGCTTTTGAAAATTGTCTTTTTTTTTGGTGGTGGTGGTGGGGGGAATTATCATTATTATATGTTTTGCTATTCAGACCAGTATGCTCATATTGGGTGCTATACTAACGAAGTTGCAGTTATTGTACACTCTAGCTTTCAGATCATCATAGCCCATAACCTTATCGGAATTTCAAACTGAATCCTTTATTCATTGTTTTCCACGTATTGGAGATATTTTACATCAGTTAATACCCAGCACTGCATTGTTTGTCTGTTTCTCCCACTGAACTAGGGAATCCAATTCACAATAAGAAACTAAATATGTTTTGATCCACTAGGTGATATATCTCTGGTGAAATTCTAGAGCATTACACCTCATGTCTGTACTCAGATGGTGGAAATATGAGTGTCTTGATTCAGGTGGTACAATTAGCATAGAGTTAAATACTATCTGGGAGCATCTGATTAAGAAAAAGTATAATTTAAAAAATTCCACCACCAGAATCAAGACTTATGCAGTTTCCCCCCCTGAGACCCAAAGGTGAATAAGTATTAACTAAAGCATAAAAAAGAAAATGAGAATAATCTACCAAGTATGAAGACAGATGCCTGAAGATGGTTAGAGGATACAACAGCCAAAATGTTAGTATAACAACTAAGATTGTCCAAATAGCAAAGTATATAATAAATCATTTAAAAGCACTGCTTTTAAAATATTTATAAAAACACTGACATAGTCAAAGTTGTTGAAAGCCATAAAATCTTAGTATAATATAGATGCATATGTCTGGAGTACTTTTGCAAATTCCAACATCTCACATAAAATTATAAAGAGTGTCAGTGCCAAACTATATATATGTTACAAAAAGCATTTAATATTAAACACTAATTGAAAGTAATACAATTTTAAAAAATAAATTATTTAAAGTTTTCTTTCATTATGAAAAGACCATAACATCCACATTTTAAACAATATATTTTCATGCTAAGAAAAAAGAACATTTCAACAATAATTTTTTAAGAGAAATTTTTCCTTTTTCAATATGCACAAAGTATTAATTTTAAGAAAATGTAAAAGATTATACCCAAAGTTGCAAATTATGAAATCAACGGTATCAATGTTTAAGGACAAAAATTTGAATGAATGGGAAAAAAAAGGCATACCTTATTTAAAGGCATTCTTATTTAAATATTCTATAGTAATTTGGACAAGTGTTAAAGCATTCTATCAAAACAATAACAGTAAAGAAAAGAATTGCTACATGCAAGGTAAATTTTTCCACATTTGACTATAATTTCGATTTGCAGACATAAACATCTGCTGATGAAGAAAACCACTTGACAAAAGGAAAAGAAATCATTCCATTAAAAGTAAAACAAAAAAAATGACATCACATTAATATCCTGAATTGAATGAACATAAGACATAAGCTAAAGTAAAGCTGCATAGACCTTATTCAAATAGAAATAGCATATGTGTTTAAGGAAATTATTAGATAAGACGACGTAAGGTTTATATACAAGTGAACCCAAAAGAGACTATATTAGTGCATACATGCAAAGTGCACAAGTGAATAAAATTATAGCAGAAAAAAAATTTGATACATTTAGTGCAGATATAAACATGCAAAATTTAAATAGATGTATTTTTCTGTTTAAACAATGTGAATTTTGCCATTCGAGTTTACAACTTGAATTTCAGTTTATGACAAGTAATTCTCTAAGTACTCTAAAAAGAATTTTTGCACAAGGAAAGTGGGGTATTTTATTCAAAATCTTTTAAGAACTATAACACTAACAGAATGAGTGTATTGAACCAAATGGAGAGAAAAAAAAAACTATTCAAGTTTGCAATAAGTTGCAATTGAAGATTAAAATATTTGAACTTTTAAAAAATTATATTACCATCATATGTTAGTATTTTCATGTAATACAGAACAACCAGAAACAGTAGATGGGATCCAAAACATTAACAAAAACTGATCCAAGATATTCAATTCCTTATTTGCAATTATAAAAGAAATATTCCAAAATGGATGCAATATATTGTAGAGATAAGAAAAACTTATTTATTGTTAAACATTTTATTATCAGTGCTGTGTAGTAATAATATTTGCATGCACAAGGAAATTGGGATTACAACATGCAGAGAATATCTGAAGCATATGTCTGCAGCCTGGAAATCTAACAAAGGCAGGGCCTCAACAGATTATCAGCTTTTCTTTACAGATTCAACTGATGCTTATTGCTTTCCAGGCAAAAAACAGAAAAAAGTTATAAAAGAAATGTTTACAACATTCAAAATGATGTTTCCAATAAACTAAAATTTTTATACTAAAACAAAATGGTATAGTTGGTGCATTTTCCCTTAAAGTAAGAAGGTTGTCTTAGCATAAAAATTAAACAATCTTTAAGCTACAATATTTGGATAATCATCAAAATACAGTGTATCCAGTCTATTGTATCACACACACACACACAATATATATATATATATATATATATATATATATATATATATATATATATATATATGCACACACACAAAAAGAGGTACTGAAAAGTTCTTGAGTCAACTCATTTCCCAAATCAAACCAAATGACCAAAATTCAGATTTTCTGGCAAAGGGCTTGGTCAAGCCAAGAACTTTTTGTCACCTTTTAAAAATAATGAATCCCTAAATCCATCAAAGCATCCAATTTTCAATGTTTAAATTTTTCAAAAACGAAAAGATTTTTGCTAGTGCAGCAAAGTATATATCCAAAAATACATTTATTTTAGAAAATTTCTGTACTTTTTCAAATGAAAGCAATAAACACAGTAGTACTAATGGAAAGAAGTTTATTTCAAATATTAATCCCTTTTTTCTTAGATAAACATGCTATCAAAAGAGTCCTATTAAAAGATATAAAATATTAATCTCATTTCAAAAATCTAAAATTACCATAACCCATTTGAAAGTCCAATCAGATCTTTGTACTTGCGACACTTGTATTAATTTGTTTTCACAAAATGCTTACTGAATTTATCATCCACAAAAAATATTTTACTGATTCACAAGTGATGTTAGATGTGCATCTTGCAATAAACTTAATCCAAGTGAATTGTGATAAGTCAGAGTGTTATGAAAATAGTGCATGTGAATCTAATGCTAAACAAAAATATAAAAATGTGTTTACTGACAAACAAAAATCTAAAAAGGATTAACTGATGACTGACAAAATGTGAATTTCAGATATGCAGTGATAAGCCACATGTTTGGCATCAATGAAAATACTATATGATCCAGA